ACCCCCCCCCCCCAATACCCTTACCCTTTCCGCTCCCAGCATAACCCTGTCCCCCCCCTCCTACTGACACCTCCCCTCTTGCCCTTTTCCTCATTGTCTCTACTTGGCCCCCTGGCAGAGGGGCCATAGGGCATGCCCTGCAAGGGAATTTAGGTCCATGAGAAAACCTGGGGCAGAGGTTGGGGTGTGGAACATGCTCAGGGTGCCAGATGAGGAGCAGGGGAGGGATGACATTCACCTCCAGGAGCCTCAACATGCTGCCTCCATCCCTCCTTCCCTGAGTGCTATCTCTGTGGCCCCCAAGCTCGTTGGCCAGGAACCACAGCCAATAAGAGCTGTGGGAGGTGGTGCCTGCAGATGGAGACAGCATGCCTGCTTGCAGCAGAGCCACCTGGCCATGCCTCCCAGGAGCAGCAAGGACAGAGTGCTGCTTGCTCAAGCTGCTGGAGGTGAGGACACTCTCCCACTAGAGCATCAGGGGCGCGGGAGGAGTGTGGGGTACTGGTTGGACCCAAAGTCCCTCCCAGAGCCTGTGCCTCACAACTCCTCCCACTCAACTCCCCCACACACTCCAAACCTTTCCTCTTAGTAAACCAGCATTTACTGGCAACCACCCTGCCCTGCCCTCGCCCAGTCCCCTTTTGCCCAGTATTCCAGATAAAAGGGCTTTTACTGTAAATAAATTCATGGAAGACAATGAATGGGCTAAATGGGCCTTTGGTCTGACCCCAGTATATCTGTTCTTATATGGAACTGAAGTAGGCTCAATTTTCAACATGAGGCATGAAAATAGAAATGTGGTAAAGTATAAATACCAATATCTATACTGCAACAGCTAGGAAAAGCTCCAATTAGTTCCAATTTACTGTTCAGGAACCAAACAAGCTCTCATTAAAATATTTTACTCTAAGGAATACTTAAAATACCCTACATAAAATGCAAATCATATTGCACTGAATTACTGTTTCTCTGGCTATTACCATGAATAATTGTATCTGAATAAGAACAATCTCCTTCCCAGTTCTTGATCCTAAAGTGAAGTCAGAATTATGAAGTTAACTGCAACAACCTATTGCCACTAATTGAATTTCACACCTAGACAACCACATTTCATATCGTTGACCAGCCCCATGCTCACCCTCATGAGTAGGTGCCACAAAAGTCACAAATACTTCATTAAGACATGACCAGAGGGTTAAAAAAGCACAATTAGGATTTCATCCTTTTTTGCTTTCCAAATATAACTTTTTTAAATCATCATCAAATAGGCAAGCAAAGTTTATTATATACGCGGATTCTGTAATTCTTAGATATTATATAGTTAAGATAATACTTGCTGTTTAAATAGACACCCAAACATGAATGCAAACTGAATAGCCAGAAAGTAACAGACATGTGCTAATGAGCAATGATAAATAATGCAAGATTAACTTGCACGCTTTTCAATCACATTTACCAAATCAGTGGACAGCGAATGTCTATTTTTAACAGAGTTCCTCACCTATGCAGTAACAGTTCTTTGAGATGTGTCCTCACGGTTACTCTGCTCTGGATGTTGGTGTGTCCTTGTGTCGGTGACCAGAGATTTTTTGTAGCAGTGACCTGCCGTGCATGCACCATGGTGCCTCTTCATGCCGTTGATATCAGTTAGGCATGTGCACGGTGCAGCTTCCTACATTTCTTCTCTATCCTGAGTCTAGCCCCAAAAAGGCTCCGAAATAGGCCAAAGAGGGAGGGTCGTGGAGCACCAATGGGGACACACATCAAAGAACTCCCGTTACTGCACAGGTGAAGAACTCTATTTTCTTCAAGTGATGTCCCCGTAAATGCTCCACTCTGGGTGACTACAAAGCAGTAGTCGTGCCATGGAGGCAGGTTTGGAGCCCTGCTAGTGTAACTGAAGATAACACTGCTTGCCCAACTGCTGAGGATTAGGGTATCGCAGAGGTGAGAGCACAGTGTAGTGGTTGTCTTGCAAATGTTTTCTAAAGGCACATTTTTGAGGAAGGCTGTTGAATAGGAAACCTCTCTGGTAGAATAAGCAATGATAGTGACTGGTGGCTGTTTGTTACGAATGATGTAGCAAGTGTGCATACAAGATGAGATCCACTTGGATATTCTTTGTGAGGAGATAGCTTGACCTCTGGATTGTTCAGCAAAAGATAGGAAGAGTCTGATTTCCTCCATTGTCTTGTCCAATCCATATAGAAAGAGAGTGCTCTTCAAACATCAGGGTGTATAGTGCCACTTGGGATAGATGAGTGTGCAGTTTAGGAAAGAAAGTAGGTAAGTATATGGGTTCGTTAATGAGGAAAGGAGATGGGACCATCGGAAGGAATTTGGGGTGTGGCCGAAGGATTACCTTGTCCTCGGTAAATATCATGTATGTCAGATCGGCCATCAGTGTTGCTAGCTCCCTGACTCTCCTGCTGGAAATGATGGCTACCAGAAAAGCTACCTTCATGGAGAGGTGTAGCCATGAGCAAGTTGCTAGAGGTTCAAAAGGAGGCTGTGTTAGGCTTTTAAGGATGTGGTTCAGGTCCAATATAGGGACTGGAGGCCATACAGATGGGAGAGTATTTTGGAGACCCACAAGGAAGTATTAAGTAAGAACCACTGAAAAGGAGGAAGTGCCATAGCTGGTTCTATGAAAAGCTGCTATTGCTGTTTCATGGACTTCAATAGGGCTGAAAGTGAGGCCCATTTCTTTTAGTTCCAGTAGGTAGTCTAATATAATGGGGATAGATATAGTATGGGGTGGTGTGGAATGGTTCTGTCTGATCCACTCAGAGAATCTTTGCCACTTGTACACAGGAAGGTTTTACTCATGGATTCTCTTCTATTATTCATTAGAATTTGTTTTACTCTTTCTGAGCAGGTGT